GTTTGACGAAGCAAACGTGCAGACAAAGAGTTTCCCCCTTTCCTGATTCGAGTCGGGAAGATCCTATACGGGAACAGAGTTGTTCCGCAATTCTAAGTATAGGGAAAGTCGGGGAGATGATTTCGCCCCCCGCTATACTTGCTGTACTTCGGTCAAATCAGGAGAGCCAAATGGTTTCCCCTCTCCGATAGGGTGCCTCGAATAGCCTGTCCACTCCCATACCCTCAACGTGGCTTCTTGAGGCAAATGGTGACGCTGATTGAACCTCAGGGCATCGAAAGGCAGGATTCCGTATCACCATTGCTTCTGTGCGCTGTCGTATCAGCCTGCTTCCACTTTTCGATACCTTCGGCGAGTCGGAAAGAATTGACCACGAACCCCAGTCCTTTCTCGCTACTTTTCCTTTCTTTTTTCATTAGACCCATGCCGCTATCTTCCCTGCAAACTTTGGTAATACCTATGCTTCCGTACCTTACAGAGCTCTGTTCGACTCGCCTGGCTCCATCATTTCTTTTTCTCTGTGGAATATTTGCTGTTCCTCTTCCAGGGATGCCCTCTGTTGTCTCTGTCCACTATCTCTGTCGCGACATGGTCTCGTGCACTTCATCTTGGGCATCAGCCATGTCAGTCCTGTACTGTTTGTTCCATTGGGATCTTTTTAATAGAATTGTTACCCCGTTTCCAGATGGGCTTTCTGTGAATTATTCCTCTTTCTCTCCTTCTATATCTCACCTTCGCACTGTGGTCTTTCTAGGCACAGTTCAATTCTTTTTGTGATACTTGCTGTGGTGTACCAGGGTACTGGCCATTCCTCCTCAATTACATGCAAACGAGTTAGCTCGGTCTTCGTTTCACTATCGTTATCATCACCACCCTCGGAGACTCGCTGTATACTGGCCCTTTTTTTTCCCCCTCAACATATCTTTTTTTTTGTTTTACCTCCTCCTTCTTCTTCTATCTGTTGGAAGCAGATTGACGTGAGCTGAAAAATAATCAAGTGATATTCCAACTCAGCGAGGCATCAATTATGAGCAGCTTTGCAAGGCGCAATGAAGGGAATGATGCGTATCTCATGAATCACCAAATGGCAGTGCCTGGCTCGTACGGTCAACCGGAGAGTCATGACTTCAAGCAAGAGGGCCATGATTTCAACACACATGGATCTGGTTCATATCATTTCCCTCAGCATTCCTTCAACCCATATGGGTCTCAGTTTGGGCAACCCTATGGCCCACAGTCGAGTCTGTCTCCGGGGTTGCAGCATTTGCAATACACGTCGGAACATTCAATTCCATCGATGACAACACCGGATGACCCTAGGCTACACCATCCCCCACAGTTCATGTCCCAATCGCGCTACCTTCAGGGGCCAAGGTATCTACCCCGCGACCCGCTGGGTGAAACAGGGATTGAAAGCCAGGAGTCTCACAACGAGGCTACATTGCTATCAGAGGCGGTAGTGCCTGCACTTAGCGGCTTCCCTGATGTAAAGGAGTTTGATCAACTGATGCAGAAGTGAGTGATCCGTGACATACCATGCTAGACTTAAGGCTGATCTCTCACCATTCTAGTTACGTTGAGGACCTATCCATCAAGAAGCAAGATAAAGCGTTGATCTATGCCAGAAGAGCACGTAACATCAGAACTGTGTTGATTGACCCCAAAGACACGGCGGTGGAGTCGGCTCAATTTCGGTATGAATCTCTCTAGTTCAATCAATTGCCTACCTTACTAAATACAACAGGTTCTGGGTTAAAAAGATGTTCAAGCTCCAAGCTGTGGGATCGGATGTAAGTCTCGCTAGTCCCAGTGGACATGATCAACCAATGCTGATGGAGTACTCTGTTGCGATATAAAGCATAGGAAGATGATCTGTCACGAGGGAAAGCCGGTTGCAATTCGGGAAAAGCTGTTCAAAATCCTCACCAAGGCCCATCAGCAATGCCAGCATGGTGGCCGAGACAAGACATCTGCTCAGGTCCGGCGGATCTATTCATGGTGTGTAAATCCGAACCTGTTACATATATGTGTGTGTGTGTGTGTGGGTGGGTGGAAATGAAGTGTCTGATCCACGGCCATTGACCATATCATTAGGGTTCCTAAGGAACTGATCTCCCGCTTCGTCAAGATCTGTCCAACCTGCCAGGTGCGCCGTGGGGGATCACGCCTGACGCCACCCAATTCTCGAAGAAGCTCCCCTAGACTGGAGATGATCTCTCGATCCCCCAAACTGCCGTCGCCGCCAATTTCGCGACGAGAGTCGACGTTTACTGGTCAAATCCCCCTTGACAGGGCGCAAGCGGATTATTTTGGTCATCTACATGGTCACGGTGGGTGGATGGATAGTCATCAAAATGTGCAAGGTCGCTCGAATCTAGGTAACGGAGTTCGGTCGTTCCAAGGTCCCATGGGGAATCTGTCACACTCAATCGCTGGCACCTTGGATGCCTTCTCCACCGATTTATCTATCCCTCCATCTCAACTGAGTTATACAACGGGCTATGTCCCGACGCATGGGGCTGCGCCTCAACGAGAGTTTTGATTATTATTTCCGGTCGACTTGTGTGGATGTTGCTTTTTGATGTTATCGGAGCCCACTGATTGTGTGCTCCCCAAAAGTATACCTTGCCAGGAGCCTCTAGATCGTCGTATGCTTCCTTGTCAAACACAAGTCTGAACGGTGGCATACACGAACAGGGCGAGAGGTCAATTCCGATCCGTTACGGGGCTTTGAGGGTACGAAGAGACAAGGGATCCCAACAGTGAATGAAAGGGGAGGCATTCGAATAAAAATGGGAAGAATATGAAAAACAAAAACAAAGAATACTCTGAATAATTGAATAATCGAATCTTGAATCTTGAATCTTGCATTATACAACATAGGCTACATTTGAATGGTAGACCAATGACCCAAAAGTACAGAAGTTTTGACAAGAGAATTTCACTTCTCTGGTCAGCAACATAGAATACAACAATCAGATATGCGCATAGTCCATGGTCATTCGATATTCGACATTCGGTAGTCAATTCCGGGTTGATTTGAGCCTCATGTGACCATCCCTAAATGCATACAGATTGGCGACATGAAAACATTAATTCATAGCAACTCCCAGTGTCGGGGCTGGAGGGGAGTGTTGCACGGGTTTAAGGCACTCGGTGCTTGTGAAATACGCGACCACAGTGTTCCAGGCGAATATAAAAGGAACGGGTGAATCGGGTCCAAAATTCCATCTCGGAACCTTGAGAAGAATCAAGATATCATCAATTCCTCAACTCATTCAAAAAGGGAAGGGTTCTAAACAGGAAGCGAGAACTTCTTGCCCTTCAAAACCCTGAGAAGAAAAAGCGCGAAAGTCAGTGTCCACACCACATGGGGGAGGGGGGTCAATTGGGCTTACTTGTTGTAGTAAATGTAAAAGAAATCGGAGTAAAGCAACGTTTGAATGATGCCGGCAATAATGGTCACAGGCTGGAAGGAACGTTGGAAGGAGGCTTCGGTGAAGTAGCGGAAGACCCAGTTCGGGATGTAGAGTGCCCTATAGAGTCCCAAAGCAAACAGGTAGTGGGTAGTGATGGTGTCTGCCTCCCCGGTTCGCTGCAGCATGAATAGTTGTGGCAATATGGCAACCGATTCCAACCAGATGGAAAAAGTCCAGAGTATCTACATGACGTTAGTCCGGTTGTTTCTACACCATAGACAGGATGCAGCCAACCTCGGAGATGCGATAATCGCGTGGAAAGAGAATCGCGAGAACCGCACTAATTCCGAGGAGGTATTGAACCTTGAAGGTATCGATGTTGGGATCATGTGTGGGTTTGTAGTCGTTCAGCATGAGGTAGATGACGTAGGCCGAAGAACCGATAAACAGAAGCTTGAACGTGGTGAGGTACAGGGAGTCGGTAAACGTCCAGAAAAGATCTACAAGTTGCATGAGCAATTGTGATGAACATAATGCCGACGGCAACGTTGAGGCCTACCGAGATACCGAGTGACAAAGACGAGAAGGTATAACACCTGCGATTTGAACGACAACCCGGAACAACTCTGCGATCCGCTATTAATTGGAAGTCCTATGTGGCTTTATGGACAGGAGAACGCACGCTTGACGTCTTCATCTTTTGCAGAAGCATGAAGATCGACGCAAGATGGGAGAAGTCGGCTGCGATTGAGCGTTAGTATATCGCGTTGATTTCCATTGGTTTTATGTCATACCTAATAACCTGAAGAGATTCATTATGCCGGGGACGGATCTCAGTTAGCAATATGAATCGTGACCTAAGCTAGGAGAGGGAGGAAGGAGAGAGAGAGAGAGAAAGAGAGAAAGGAAGGGGAGGAGAGGAGATAAGTTTGAGAATTGGTAGGAGTTTCCACCAAATAGCTGAGTTGTTGACACGAAGGCAGAAAAATGGAAGGGGAACTTAAATTACTTGCAGATCAGGTACATCACAGTACATACAGAGGTATATGACACACAGGTACCGTATAAGTAATACATTACACTGTATGTATTAATACGGACTAGTGGTGAGAGAATGTTTACCCAATTGTACAATTTTGCAAAGTATCGAATACAAAGATTTTACTCCTGAAAATACACGTACTTTACTGGAAGTAGAGTATTGTACCTACAATGATCCTTGCCCTGGAGAAGATCCCCTACGGAGTACCAGGGGAGTAGGCACCTTATATTAAATCTCGGGTATATGATCTCGATCCTTGTATTTCTTCTATGCGTCCATGTGTAAATTGAATTATAAATATTGCATCGATCCTGGAGATATCTACTTTCTATCTACTTAATATAACTGCCAAGCAAAATCTTTTCTTTCGTTTTATTTTATACGAGCCTAAAATGCATAATATCATCAAGTCATCATATTGATACAATCTTGGAAGAAAAACAATCGTAATCGCTACCTAGACCTCAACCGCAGACACACGACCAAGTAAAACGCCGAGTTGAATTGCCATTGTAGGACAAACATGTATATTTGCCTCGCTAGAACAAGTTCCCGCCCCCAATGCTCTCATCGGCCATTCGCTGGAGATGGCCCTCAGCTAGCTCGCTCTTGAGGGCGCAGATTGAGCTTTCGCGATCGAGTCGATCCCAGTCTCGAAGTTCCGCTCGCTTGGACCTCTGCGTCTCTGTGATCTGCTCGAGAAGTTTTTCTTTGTCGACATCAAGCTGAGCCAACCGCTTCTCCACGGCAGGGTCTAGAAGCAACGGAAGACTTCGACCTTCTGGTATGATAGTACACAGGCCTGCAAGGTGGTTGACCCCCTTCTGAGTCAATGGTTGAGTTACAGATTGAATGCTCGGTTGCCGAGATGTTGGATGTCGGTAACTCCCACCAGGTACGGGAGATGAAAAAGAGGCGCGAGGACCTGCTGGTGGGGCTTGCGAAGGTGCAACAGTTCCACGGCGTACTGGCGGAGATCCCGTCCAAGCTTCACGTGGACCAGGTCCGCGGCGAGGACGAGTCGGCGCTGACAGTAAAGAGACATGCGAGGGACCGCGATGCTGATTAGATGGCGGCCGCGGTCCCTGATAAGGTCCCAATGGTGGCAGCGGAAGTGGGCTTGCGCCGTGGTTTTTCGGTTGAGTAGGGATGCTACCACCAACTCTGGTCCCGCTTGCATGGGGTTCCAAATGTGTTTTCTCTGGGATCGAAAAAGGCGAATGATTGCCAACCGATACTCGATCCTCAAGGTCTGGCCGTTGTTGTGGGTAAGAGGGTTCTGTATCGTAAATCTGATCCCGGTACGGAGATCGACCTGAGGGGTTCGACAACCGTTGGAAGGGCGCCGGAGAGCGAATTGGCGACCGACTACGAGCTCTGTGACAAGCTACCACAGGCTTTTCTATGGCCGGCGAGGAACGTCGAGATATCAGGACGGGCGGTGACGGTGCAGGTGAAACATGTCTTGATGGCGACAAAGTCCGATCTCGTTTCACCGCATCACGAGGGTTGTCTCGATGCGAGGCATGAACTGGACTTTGTGGTAACAAGGCTTCTGGCTGTACCCTCGGCGGGGAAGTTCTAGGATGTTCTTCAATATTCAAGACAGCAGGCCCGTCTCGTCTTGTGGGTCGGAAGACCTGGCTGCCAGGAGTTGTATCACGTATTCGTCTTGGGCTGTTGCGAGCGCGGGATGCGTTACGTGATCTGCCATCACTGTAGGGCGATTTCGAGCGCCATTTTTGGGGCGGTGATCTGACCCTGTCATTTCTTCTGGGCGAGAACCTTCTTGGTGGGGATCGTCGTCTTTCATAGGGAGGCGGACCGAAGTTTCTCCCGGGAGGAGTACGTGAGCGACGCCGGTATGGTGGCGGTGACCGACTTCGTGGGCGTCCATACCCTCTATTTGATGACGGTACCCAAGTGTCCGCTCGTGGTCGAGGAGGGCTTCGGGTTCGTGGTGGCGAACGTCGGTGACGAATTTCATACCCTCGAGAAGGGGAACGACCGTTTCTTTCGGCGGGACGATAACTTTCACCGCCTCTTCGCTCATCGAATCTAGGGAAATACTTAGAAATTGCTTCCTTTCAGCCGTTTTGGTGCTCCTACAAACCTTCTGCGATCCCAGTCCATCCTCGAACAGAGAATATGGATATTGGAGGAGGTGAGATGAAATTCAGAGTACTCCGGGGTGGGAATAGATGGTGAAGCACAGGAGCACACAATTACCCAGTCCTGCTTCTCCGTCTCCTGGGGAGAGAGGGTGAAAGTGGATCATAGTACAAGGAATTGAAGGGTCGGGATGCGGTAGATGAGAGAACTGAGCTAAACCCTTTTTGGAATCCATTCACGTGACTGTGGGCCTCAATGTATGTACAAGATATGCAATCTACTGACTTGGGGGACTTTTACGGACAAATCTACGGAGCACAGTCCTCGAGGTTTCATGGATTATACAATAAGAACCTCGATTCAAAACTAACCGTACATTACAGGCCAGAGGGTTTTTTGCAACCCAGAGTGTACACCAAAGCAGCCAAACTCCAATGCTCATCATGAAAGAAGCACGCCCCAAGGAACCCAAGAGAAAGAAAATAAGAAATACACCGAAAGAAGCATGCTTAATGCTTCCCTCGTCTCTCCTCCTCCTTTCGCAATCTTTTGCGGTGCTCCTGTGCAATCATGTCACTCAAGTCTTCCTGGAAACCCCAGTTCGGCGGATTCTGCTGCTGTCTCTGTGACTCGTACATGCTCTGGAGGCTCTCTTTGCTGAGGCCATCGCCGGATTGAATTGCATCCAGGTTGACAGACACTTCAACATCCCCAGGCTTCTTGCGTTTCCGGGTTTGGTCCTCTGTGCCGAGAACAGGAGGCTTGCCTGTTGATACGCTAAGGTCGTAGGCCCTATCACCCCCGAAAAAGCCTTCCACGTTTGTTTGCCTCTCGGGAATGACTTGATAAGCACTCCGAGGGTGAACGGAGTCCTCTGTGTCAGGACCACGATGGTGTTTGCGCACATCAAACTCCCCAGAAACATTCTCGGCGCCAACAAATTCAGATGGTACTGCTGAGTCTATTCCACTTGGGGTTTCCATGCCACTAGGAGAATGAGCACTTGCACCCACGCCATCTTCGTCGCTTTCTTCTTCATCTTCATCCTCCTCCTCTGCCTCACTCTCCTCTTCTGACTCTTCTGATTCATGCAATTCTCCCCAAAGATCCTTTTCGATCGGCTCTCCTTGTTGGGCATGCTGTTGGGGCTGTAAAATGCCGAAGATATCACCTCCGAATAATGGGCGGTTGTGTTCATCGACAGGTGGCTTTCCATAACCTCCGGGGTGGTAGCCCCACGACGCGCCGGGGGGAGGTGGCGCATTGAGGCCGGGGACCTTTAACGCGGGGTAGGAGGACGGGGGACCATATCGCTGCTGGTTGACAAGCCACGGGGGAGGGGCTCCTGGAGCCATACCAAGAGCGTCCCTTAACTCATCGCTCAGTTCGCCAGGTCGGAGATGCTTGAGATTGGTCTCGTATTCTTTGCCTTCATAGTATATCTCACCGTAGCGAGTCAGCTCTGGCTTGGTTTGGAAACGGAAAAACGCCTCGTAAAGCTTCTGGTAATCAATGTCCAACTTGCCCATCTTTGGCTGCACTCTTTCCCGTTGCTTCTGTTTCAAACTTGACTGTTCCTGCTTCTCTAAAGCAGCATCGCGCATTTCAGATATTCCGGTCTCCTGGATAAATTTCGGGAGAGCAAATGGCGCCTTCTCCACTCCCCGTTTGGATGAGAGATACTCTCGTTTGAGCGACCAGTGAGAGGGTACCGGGACAACATTGCGATGGGCCTTAATGTGAACGAGGAGTCGAGGATCAGGGGCGGATGTATCCGTCCATTCAACAATTTCAGGCTTTCGCACCATTGCTTTGAGTTCAGCAACGGATAGCTTGTTCATTTCTTTCCGTTTCTTTTTTGAAATCTTGGGTTCGCTCTCTTGCTCTTCGTCGGGTATCTCATCACCATCGTCAAAGAAGACCTCGGGTTTATCAGTCTCCTTCGTCAATGAATTTTCGTTCGTTGTCTCATCGAATCTTCCGGCAACACCTTTGTACATTTCCCATAGCGGATCGCTTGGCTCGGTAAACAGATCGGTGTTCGTATCGGCCGGTGCATCCTGGGCAATAGCCACTGCCGGTGGTGGCAGCTCCCGTGATATGGTATTGTCAACGGAAAGGCTCGTAGTCTTGACAGTAGCGTCAGATTTGCATTGATTATGGCTAAGAGACTTTGAGGAATATATCTGCCTTACCTCGGCTTTCTGGGCCTTTTTCTTAGCTCTTCTGAGCTGGTTCTTGCTCAGCTTCATGGTCGCTGGAAGGTTCGGTAGCCGCTCAATGAACGCGATACCAGGTGGAGAATATCGTAGAAATGGAAATAGATATGGCACTGACAGCCTGGTTCAAGTGCAAGTACGTGCAAGGAGAGATTTAGCGAAAGACGATGGAGTGGGAGGACAAGGTTAAAAACAGAATATATTGCATCTCAATTGTCATCACGTGCGTCCAGCTATAATGCCTTACCGCCTATATTTTGCCACACTGGCGTCAGCCTGCAGGGCTTAAAGCCTTCCAACGCTTGGAGGGTCTTCTCATTTGTTATGCAATAACCGATTAATGTACTCTCAATTCTTTGCATAGAATTCTGAGTATTGTTCCAATGAACTACTGAAATGAGGCCCCCCTAAAAAAAGAAGGGAAAAAAATGTATTATTGTACAAAATATGAAACAAAACAGGCCATGTCCGATGGTGAGACTATGGGCGAAGATAACGAATAGAATCCCGGGGCCAATTTGCACTTGAAGCAAAATACTTAAACAGCTTTACAGAGTAGCATTCCACTAGCCCAGCCCAAATCATAGGGAGATAGTCCGGATATGGAATAAGTGCCGGTGTTGATGTGAGTGGTGTAATGTTGAGCTCGGTAAAGCCTAGAAGGTTAGGCAGGTGATCTATTTCTTCTTTTTTGCGGATCTCGATTCTGTTCAAGTTTTAGATTTTTGATCCCCGGCAGGAAACCATTAGATGTGAAGGAAATTACCTGCAGCAGTTCGTTTCTTCTTCGGCCGGCCCTTTCCTCGTAATTTGGCACTATTGATCCGGTGGTTAGTGGGCGTATGCGGTGTGGGAGAATAATTCCTTACATCTGAATGGCTTCTTCTCTGTCATCTTCGGCTTCGTCAAATGTCGTCAATCCAAGAGGCTTATAAGTGTTTTGTAGATCTTGGAAAGACACGGTTTGCTTTGGATACCAGGCTGCAAGCGCTGGCCCACGCAAGCGCTGTCTCAGGACCTTGTTTCCAAGTCGAAGTCGTTGTGGATTGAAATTGAGAGAGAATATGCGGCATTGGGTCTAGAGAATTGTCAATCAGTGAATGCCACCACAGTGAAATGAAAAGGGTGGTTTGAACCTTAACTAGATCCAATATCCGATTTGACGCCATATTCCTTTCTCAGAGGTTCAGAAGAACCATATGCAAATAGAAATGGTGAAGCAGCTGTCCACAGCAGCTCGGTTGATAGACAGGTGTTATCAAAACTGAAGTTTGCCCGGTAGTCATGTGACCTCAAGAAGTATACCGCCTACATATCATCATCCATGCTTGTATTTTATTTACCTCGAGGTAAAAGCAAAAGGAAGAAAAAGCGCAAGTGCAAAACCGTACTGAGACTGAGCAGTGGCTACAACAATTGACATGCCTCAAGCCAAGGAGATAGCAGATTCAGCAGGCTTCAAAAGGCCAATGGTAGATCTGAAAAGACCATCCTCCGTCTTTGGGTCGGATGCCGCACAACACTCACAAAAACGGCCCAAGGTGAATATCGTGTTCTCATCCTTCTGAGTGAATTCCCGCGTATTCGATTAAGTTACTAACATCTACTTTCATAAGGTTCAACAATCAAATCAGCCGCCGGATACTGAGTTCTCTATTGGTGATAGCCGCAGCATGGCTAAGTCTAGCAACAATTCTCGTCTACTTCTTCTGCAACACCTTGTTCGAGAAATTTCAACCAGTTCTGATCTAACCGGTGCGGACTCGGAGGTTATGGCCGCAATTTTGAGGCTGGATGACACATTTCGTGGGACGAAGAATCAATTGACTTCCAGAGATTCTTCCATGGC